CAGCAGTAACGCGCCCTGGTACGGCATAGACAACATGCTGTACCCTGCATGTTGCTATGCCACAGGATGGCAGTACCGCTGTAGGGTCTTCCAGGACTTGACGAGTCATCAGACATTTCAGGGCTGAAACTGTATCAGCGCCTATCTACAAATTAAAAGAAATTTTTAAATTCACAAAGTTGAAGCGAGTGTTATTGCAGAACAAGAATATCACACATCAAAAATCTTTTCAATATATTCATACAATTGGGGCTTTAAATCCATCACCGTTTTAGGCAATAACAGTACAATCTTCTACAATCTTCTCAAATTTTAGTTTCCTGTATTCGCATGATCTGAAGTGCCTTCAGGCCAACATCTGACACAGAGCACAGTATGCATCTCTTTTTGGTTTACATAATCTTATATGAAATATATCTATTTAAATTTGTATACATTTTATTTATAGAGAAAACACACTGTCTCCATTTGACTGAATGGAAGTCTTAAGCCTGTCAGTCGCATGCCCTGAGGTGATACACACACATACACTGGCAATCTGAGGCTTCCCAGGTATCAAACTTTACGGGCTCACCATAGCCCGTGCTACTTGTAACTTGTTCCGAGTAGCTGAATCCATAACAACAACAACGTATCAAACCGCTAACCTATACAGTCTTAAACGCCTCAGTAATATATACAAAATTTCATTTACGTTTCCTCCGATTTCCAGCTTGAGTCCAAGGACTTGAACAGACTCTATATCACTGAAGCCTTCAGATGCCCTCTGTCTCAGAATCATCCAAGACGGGCTTTTCAGTGGGATGGGTATTGGCTACAACGTGCGGTGGGAGAGGAAGGGGAAAGGGATAGTGGTGGTTAGCAGCAGGAGAGAGAGAAAAGCATGTTTTGTTGCATTATCCCCTACTCACTAATTGCTCCACATGCGCTCGTTCTGTTTTGAGAGTCAGTCCTAATAGAAACATATATCAGTTGCTCTGGTAATGGTGCGGCGTCAAGAGGAAGGGAGACTACACACTGCCTCCTTAATCCCATCAACGGGAAGACTGTCAAGGCGGGGAGTGAAGAGCAGAGGATCAACTAGTCAAAGGACCGTTAATGAAAGCTCTGGTGACGTATGATTATTCCCACAATTGGAAGGTGATAGGGAAGGTAAGGGTGAAGGTGAAGGGGTAGAGGGGAAGGTGAGGGTGAAAGGGGAGATAAGGGGAAGTTGAGAGGTGGGGGGGGGACGGGAGGAAGTGAGGGGAAAACTACCAGACGACATTCACCCCATGCAGCGACTAGACGACCAAATATTCCGATCAAATTTGCGCAGTGAAAGACACCGACGAAGCTGGAACGAGTGGCTCACGTCAGGACGAATACGCTCCTCTGGAAACTGGAATGAACTTAACCGTTTTCCTCTCCTGGACGAGGTATTTGGTTTAGAATCTGAAAGTTAGATGCTCGGTGTCCTCGGGGAACAGGTGATCCTGAATCATGAGCGAGCTATCTTGAGATGATTTCGGGGCTTAGCGTCCCCGCGGCCCGGTCCTCGACCAGGCCTCCTTTTTGTTACACATCCCCCAGGAAGCAGCCCGTAGCAGCTGTCTAACTCCCAGGTACCTATTTACTGATAATACTTATAAGCTACCAAAGATGTCTGGCATCTGGGAGCCCGTTGTCTAACCCATGTAAATATTTTGTGATTTAGAATTTTGAAGACTTTAGACGGATATTTATTTTCTAATATTTAGTCTTTATTAAGAAAGAAAACGAGTCAGTCTGGAAAATTCTTCTATTTTTGAGTGGAAAAGGAATTAAACTGTCAAAGGGTTCTTTCAGATACACAAAAGACTTAAAGAGAAGGCTGGCCCTTGGGAAAAATGAGTTAGGTCATGTAACAGATAATGACACTGAAATAAGTAGCAATCTAAGTACTATGTTTCTGTACTTACCAGAGAGGAACTTGCTAACACCAGAACCAATCTCTGTAGGAGGTGAAGAAGGTCAGTTGAACTGTATAGTCATTCCCAGGGAGGAAGTCATTTCCCATAGACAAATGAAAGCCAAACCAATCCCCCAGGCTTAGACGAAACGTTTGCCTGGGTCCCAAGAGCATACAAGGGCTGAGTGAGCCCTTGACATTTATATTTAATGTCATGAAATTCCACGGAATCGCGGAGAGTTGTCAATGTTGGACCAATCTTTAAGAGGGGGAAAGTATCATTTCCATCGAATTATCGACCAATTATCTAAACGTATATTGTGGGGAAATCTGCTTGAATCGATGATCGCAAAAGATATTGACGTACAACTTTGAGAAGCACAGATTGATAAGGGATTCTCAACAGTGCTTTACAAAGGGCTGCGAAAGGAAATTCATGTTCCACGAATTTCCATTCACTCTATTCCAGCATATTTGAGGCAGTTGACAGTGGTATCAATTGTCACGTTGTGTACCTTGACTTTAGCTAAGATTTTGATACTGTGCCTCACGAGTGACTGGAAGAAACTCACGGTACTGGAGAACTATGCTAAGTTGGATAAGGGCACGATTATTTGAAAGCAAAACAAAAGAGTTATATAAATAGAGTTCAGTCACAGTGAGAAATAGTTATAAGTGGAGTGCCACAAGGCCTTATCCTAGGACCCCCTATTGTTTACTGCACATATAAACGTTTTAGATTTAGGACTGAGCAGCAATATTTGCAAACAATACAAAAGTTAGGAAAGAAATAACTTTAGAAGATAAAAAATGTTGATAAATGCAGGGTTCCGAGACTAGGTAGTGATCAGTCACATACTCAACCCACAAATATGAAAAGGAGGAACGTATAAGGTCCGTTCTGGAGAATTATCAAGATATCTAATCTTCAGCAACGTTATTGTTACTCATTGTCTGCAATGATAAGAGTTACCAGATATCAGCTGGATAGTGTTGAAATTGAGACATTGCGAATGCGAAAAAAGATCTGGGGGTCATGATTAGTAAGAATTTACGGCCAAAAACCAGTGCATAAATGTTCGGAAAAATGCAAATAGGACACCGATTTACCTCAAGAATCAGGGGCCAGATTCACGAAGAAGTTACGCAAGCACTTACGACTCTGTACATCTTTTCTCAATCTTTAGTGGCTTTGTTTACAATTATTAAACAGTTAATGAACTCCGAAGCACCAGGAGGCTGTTTATAACTAACAACAGTTGATTGGGAAGTTTTCATGCTTGTTACCTGTTTAATAAATGTAACCAAAGCCGTCAAAGATTGAGGAAAGATGTGCACGTTCGTAAGTACTTGCGTAACTGCTTCGTGAATCTGGGCCCAGGGTAAGAACTAAACTCATCTAACTCGCTCAATATTAAGCTAAAACCATTAAATATCTAACCTGGCTTCAAGAAATAGACTAGTTCACCATATAAAATATATATATATATATAATAATAATATTTATATTTAATATTAATATAATAAAAAGGACGTGGTATGTGAGTTAGGTTCAGTCCCCAATTGTGTGGTGTAGTTCACACGAAGAAGCGTATGACGTCAACCTGCTTGAGACCTCACATTCCATCTAAGAATACTTAAGAAACTACTTCGTTATTATGACAGGTACATAATGACTCTCCCGCCGATATAAACGGGTTATTACAAGCTCCTCCAATACGAGGCTCGCGTATATAATCACTTTTTGAACCATGAACTATGTTGACCTAAAATAACCGACCATGTTAATTGACAATAACGGCCTATTAAGTGAAAATAACGGCCAAATTAATTGAAAATAACGGCCATATTAACTGAGAATAACGTTCACATTAACTGAAACTAACGGCCGTATTAACTGAAAATAACAAGCCTTATAACAACCGAAAGTAACGGCATATTAACCGAAAATAACGAACCACATTAACCGAAAATAACGAACCACATTAACCGAAAATAACGAACCACATTAACCGAAAATAACGAACCACATTAACCGAAAATAACGAACCACATTAACCGAAAATAACGAACCACATTAACCGAAAATAACGAACCATATTAACACATAATATAGTACCATAACATAACTGAAAATAACAGAGTTGCTCTATAATTTTCCTATTCATTTATGCATGAAACAATCACATTATCCACATCTTTCAGCACGATAAATGTTAACAAATTGATAGAATAAGATAAGGGTATAAAGGGAGGTCGAAATATTTACCCAGTCCCCCTTACAATGTTTGTTTTTTCTTCTATATATAATACACAGCAAGGCACCCATTATATATGCTACCATCGTGCCATTCACGAAGGGACTCTTGAGACTTCGGGGGCAATATCCAAGCCACTTCAAACTCGTACACACCTCGCAAAATAGGAATCTTCATCTTGCTTCAGAAATTAAATACAAGCGAGTCTCGGGTAAATCTCATTCTCCCAAAATTGCTGCAGGATTATCAGAGAGAGAGAGAGAGAGAGAGAGAGAGAGAGAGAGAGAGAGAGAGAGAGAGAGAGAGAGAGAGAGAGAGAGAGAGAGAGAGAGAGAGAGAGAGAGAGAGAGAGAGAGAGAACCAGCCAAATTGTCAGATTATGGGATTGAATTTCTTAGAGGCAGGATCGACCCGTCAGAAGGACGATCATTTCATGGTCAACATTTTAGACCTCCAAGACGTTCGTCGTCTGCGATCCTTTCAGGCGCGTGCAATCTCTCTCTTAAGTGTCTAGAACGAAAAAGATACTATCGCTCGGAGCATAGTTCAAAGTGCGCCAACTACACCCTAATTTGGCAAACAACTTTCCAGGTGAGTAACAGAGCCAGGTGAGTAAAAGACCCAATGAGTAATAGACCCAAGTGAGTAACAGACCCAAGTAAGTAACAGACGCAAGAGAGTCACATACCCAAGTGAGTAACAGACCCACGTGAGTAACAGGTCGAAGGACCCATAACCCACACTCTATACCACACTTGTGTGATGAGTGGCAGAGGTTGGCACTCAAGAGGCACCTGATGTCCCTGTTGCAGGTCGTCGGGAGGCGGCACTGCGGCACTACGAGGCGGCACTGGGGCTCGACCCGGAGCACACCGTGGCACTGGTCAACACCGCCAGACTCATGCGCACTCTACACAACAACAATCAGGCCGAGATGCTCTACAAGAGGTACGCCCTTCTCATCTTCTTTTGCTCTATTTCAGTATTATATTTAGTGAGCCACAGTAGGCCTAAATATATATATATATATATATATATATATATATATATATATATATATATATATATATATATATACATATGAATCAATACATTAAAACGAGAAATTATGACAAAAAAATCCCAACCCACACATATGATACGAACACTTATAAAGTTATGACCTAATAAGTCGTAACCGACTTGATTTATTTAAGTTACGACTTGATAAGTCGTAACTTATTCGTCTCCAAGACACTTCAAAACCTCGTCACTTCATATGTGCCGGTTGGGTTAATATTTTGACTAATTCTCTACAAGTAATTAACAAAACATTTCCTAAATCATTTCTCTGGTCACTATGTTGAGGGCCACGCAAGGGAAACTTGCCTAACCTGAAAACACGTCTCCACATTAAGGACCACAGTTCCTTACCTAATACTGAACTCAAACTCACATGGAAGCCATTCTTGAACAGTGAACATTATGTTGTGTACGACGATACACAACAGCGCGGTGGAGAGGGGGGACCTGCTGCATGGGTAACAGCTTCTCTCCCGAATCAACCTACCCAGGCTTTGCGCCCTGGTGAGGCCACTCCAGACCGACAACCAGAGCGTAACTCCATAGTCTCCTGAGACTGATGGATGCCAACTACTACTACTACGACGATACATCCTATCTCAAGGGAGGGAAGGAAATGTAGACTGTAGTAAGGGAGAGAGAGATACAGACTGTAGGGAAGGGTGGTAGGGAAATACAGACTGTAGGGGAGGGTGGTAGGGAGATAGAAACTGTAGGGAAAGGAGGTAGAGAGATACAGACTATAGGGAAGAGTGATAGGAAGATACAGATCGTAGTAAAGGAAGAGAGGGATGATACAAACTATTGGGACAGGGTGAAGTTCTCTCCTATTTACTGTTCCAGTTAAATGTTAGGGAGATGACCCTGCCTCTCACGTCTGTCCCCCGTCCTGGACAGAAACGTCTGTCTCCGCCGCTTCTCCCTCAATCTCTCTCAACCGTTCACCGAGACAGACCTACCACCAACCCGCAGTCAGTCAGGTAACACATTCACAGCCCACACTGAATAAATTCATCTCACAAACTATAATCGCCAAAGAATAACTAGCAGAGCAGCTCCTGCTAACCTCCACAATACCACCACCACCACTACCACCTCCCTCACTACCAGTCTCTACCTATCTCTCGTAGCGACGGTCTCGCTTCATGCAGGTCGGCGTTCAATCCCCGACCGTCCAAGTGGTTGGGCACCATTCCCCTCCCCCCCCCCTCCCGTCCCATCCCAAATCCTTATCCTGACCCCTTCCAAGCGCTACATAGTCGTAATGGCTTGGCGCTTTCCCCTGTTAATGATCTATCAATCTCTCATCCCTGGATGATGATGGTGGTGGGGCCTTGTACAGGGCGCTGGCGGTGGCCTGGGAGGCGGAGATCGGGGAGAGTCTTGGGAAGCTGTATCTCAACACTGGTCGCCTGGAGGAGGCTGAATCTACCTTCACCAGCGTCCTCACCCACCACCCCCACATGCTCTCCTCCACCGTGTACCTGGTGAGTGAACCCGCCTTCTGCTTCACCCTCTGGTGGGTGTAGTTGAGATTTGTATTTACTATGTGTGCCTGCAGAATCCAGCTAAAAGGTCTTGAATCCCGCTTTTCTAATCTATTTTTTCCTCTATTATGTCTACTACATATATTGCTCTCTAACACACACACACACACACGCACATATCCCCAGGAAGCAGCCCGTAGCAGCTGTCTAACTCCCAGCTATCTATTTACCGCTAAGTTAACAGGGGCACCAGGGTGAAAGAAACTCTGCCCATCTGTTTTCGCCTTGGCCGGGGGAAAAAATGTGTGTGTGTGTGTGTGTGTGTGTGTGTGTGTGTGTGTGTGTGTGTGTGTGTCCTCTTTCTGTCTCTCTCTCTCTCTCTCTCTCTCTCTCTCTCTCTCTCTCTCTCATTGTCTCTGCTTTTCTCTCTCTCTCTCTCTCTCTCTCTGTCTCATTGTCTCTGCTTCTCTCTCTCTCTCTCTCTCTCATTGTCTCTGCTTCTCTCTCTCTCTCTCTCTCTGTCTCTCTCTCTTTCATTTTCGTTTCCACTCACACTTGACAGCATATTCGTCTTACGCTTCCCCTTAGTAAATTTTTTAGACGTCATATTTGGTCAAAATGAAAGCCATTCCCCACCAAGCATGACTCACAACGACCATATGTAATTCCCGCGAGCGTGAGCCCGCCGCCAGCGTCCAGACCAGCCTCTGACCTTCACCACCAACCTGAATTGTGGCTAGAATTTCAGCTTTCAAAACTAGCTGCGAAGTACCGTGTTTGCCGGCGTGTGAGACGCACACATTTTACAAGAATGTTTCAGGAAAAAAAAGTGTAGTTGGTTATATTCCTTTATTAAAAAGTGATGTTAAGGTGGTGGGTTTGGCCGGGGGTAACGTGATTTTTTTTTATCATGTAAATACAATGTTTTTGATCGTTGTAAATACAATAATGTAAATACAATATATTCGTCAGATGGTTAAAAAAAAGCGCGTCGTATTAGCTAGCAAATACGGTATTAACCTTTTTAAACACAAATTAGTTTACGTTTTTCTCTGAAGAAGACTCAATACCGAGAGGCTGTAAATGCATTCAATGCAAGTTTAATAATTAATAATGTTTATATAAGAGCGTAACTGCCTCGTCTTTAATTTGTTATTCTTGTTAATAATCAGAACACTTCTCGAACGTATTTCAAGCTCTAATAACATATAATATTTAAACTTCCCAAAATAATGATGTTCAAAGAAAACCTAAACGTTAGCTTAATATTGGTTGCAAATCTTGCAAATGTTGCGTAAACACAGAGCGCCTCGGGTAATGCGCACGGATTATGAATTGTGAAATCAGGGGCGCCCTGAGTACATAGGAACAGGTGCCAACAGGTGCCAACAGGTGCCTACACGCCTTCCTATTGGCTCCCAGCCACGCCACCCACTCCCACCATGGCACTCTGCCATGGTCTTGTACCCAGCTGTAATTAACCACAAAGTTCTGTATTTATCTAACTCAAATAATTACCCAGGGATGCGTGTGCAACTGAATCAATGCACTGAACTAAAACAATACTCAAAGGACGAGGGTTTAGGATTGTGTTCACCTAGATATGTTCATATCTATGTGAGCACATTTAGATGAGCACATCTAGATGAGCACATCTATGTGAGCACATCTAGATGAGCACATCTAGATGAGCACATCTATGTGAGCACATCTATGAGAACACATCTATGAGAGCACATCTATGAGAGCACATCTATGAGAGCACATCTATGAGAGCACATCTATGAGAGCACATCTATGAGAGCACATCTAGATGAGCACATCTTTTTAAGCAAACATTCTGTCACACAAATATGTCATATTACGAGAAGTCATTTTTATCAGAGACATAATTCTGTCATCTCGGCTTTTGAGTTATGACAGAACGCGTATGTGGCCTTGACAGGAGGCTACGTGTAGCCTTGACAGGAGGTCACGTTTTGCCTGACTTGCCGACATACCTGTCAATCTCATCAAACTTTTATGGCCCCCGAGCCTGTTGCCCGACAAAATGTCTTGCGTTGTTACACAACTACAGTTACCGACGGATTATGTGTAGATGTGAGCCCCCTTGGTGGTGCCTGGCGACCAGCGCTTGTCATCCTGGGGCCAGTAAAAACACTGAAAATTCACGAAGCAGTTACGCAAGCACTTACGAACGTGTACATCTTTCCTCAATCTTTGACATCTTTGGTTACATTTATTAAACAGTTTACAAGCATGAAAACTTCCCAATCAAGCTGTTCTTATTGCCGCCAAAGACTGAGAAAAGACGCGCAGGTTCGTAAGTGCTTGCGTAACTGCTTCGTGAATCTGAGTACTTCCTGATTCTCGCTACTTCCTCTCTCCTGACGCAGGCGCGGGTGAAGCTTCAGCAGAGGAGCTACCTGGAGAGTGAAGAGCTGCTGCAAAAGGTGCTTGACCAGTCCCCCGGCCACCAGGAGGCGCTCTTCCAGCTCTCTCTCCTCTACACCCACACCAACCGCACCCAAGACGCCCTTATTCTTGCCCAACAAGCCGCCCACAACTGCTCCAGGCCGCCCTATCTCTGCGCCCGTCTCCACGCCCACTATGGAGACCTCCTCAACGACAGACACAACGTAGATGAGGCCGCCCAGGTAAGATCTTTCATACCGTGAGCATTACTAGGACTCTGCAGCAGTTTCTCACGGTTACCAAAATTTTCTAATGTATCCGACGGTAGTGATAAATTAATAATGAAATACCTCAAGAAGTGACACATACTGCAAAAGGATATATTACACCAGGGTACATGTACACTATATTACGTTCTTGCAGAGTTACCTGCTAGCAGTGGAGTTGGAACCGACGCTCACCCACCCGCACATCAACCTGGGGGCCCTCTACCACGCTAAGGTCTGTTCCACTTCCCTCTTCAACTCGTAATAATGATCATGTCAAACTTTCTTCCCACCACTGGCTTCCTTAACACTGTATATATCTCCATATTTGCACTAAGCTGTGGTATAGATACTGTTCGTTTATCGTGACTTAAAGTAAGCTTTAGTAATGCTATGCCACATTAAACCCACTTCCAGGGGCCAGGTTCACGAAGCCGTTACGCAAGTACTTACGAACCTGTACATCTTTTCTCAGTCTTTGGTGGCTTTGTTTACAATAATTAAACAGTTAATGAGCTCCGAAGCACCAGGAGGCTGTTTATAACAAAAATAACAGTTGATTGGCAAGTTTTCATGATTGTAAACTGCTTAAAAATGTAAACAAAACCGTCAAAGATTGAGGAAAGATGTACACGTTCGTAAGTACCTGCGTAACTGCTTCGTGCATCTGGGGCCCCCAGGTTATTATTGAAGAGCTTATTGAAATGTTATTACTCTTATGCAGTCGTATAAGGAGTCGTTGACCAAACCACACACTAGAAGGTGAAGGGACGACGACGTTTCGGTCCGTCCTGGACCATTCTCAAGTCGATTCTCACAATCGACTTGAGAATGGTCCAGGACGGACCGAAACGTCGTCGTCCCTTCACCTTCTAGTGTGTGGTTTGGTCAATATAATTTAGCCACGTTATTGTGACTCATCGCCTGTACAAGGAGTCGTTTGTGATGTGACGACCCACTTATGACCGAACTGATGAGCCTGAAGGCTGCCTTCAAGGCTCTCTCAAGAGTTCATTTACTGTACTGTGGGTTCTGTACATTCACCTGTGCTGGCGTTAAGGTGCCAAGGGGAACAACACCTTACACTCTCAGCCACTGAGGCACCGAGAGTGATGCGTGGCTCCCCACGGCACTCCCAACCATCACTAGCACACACTAGTCAAGGCTCACCCTATTTTATCAATTCCAAAGCTATTGAGCAACGCTCCAGTCAAAAATCTATATGTCAACTCAAAATTTTGGACAGGCTGTTAGAGAGTAAATTATGTACGGCTTCGAAAGCATTAGAGAAAGTATAAATATTATTTAGATATCAAATTATTATTAGTTTTACAACTATTGAATAACCAGACAATAAGAATTTTTGCATCTAGTAAATACCACTTGCATGGTACCAGGCTAGATCATTCTTGTGTTTGTGGTTCCTAGACCAATAAAGAGCTCCTTATCTTTACTAATCTCCGTCGAACAGTGAGGTTGTAGACATCGTCTCTATCATTACTTATAAGAAACAGAGAAAAACAAGAATCATTAGCATTTCCTAGAGTAAATCCTAATGCTGCCCCTCTCTCTCTCTTCCCCCGCCAGGGCGACTACACGCGCGCCTGGAGACACTACCTGACGGCGCACGGGCAGGAGCCCTCCAACACCCTCCTGCTGGAGAACATGGAGAAGCTGAGACGGGCACAAGACCTCCAGGCACCCGCCAGCATCCCCCACTGCCTCAATAAGTCTTGATATATATTCCAAGACCCAAAGGTCCCATTCGAATCCTTTCTGAGCATAATTTTAGATTAATTGATTTCTATAGAAACGGATCAGAATTTGTTTATCATTTCCCCAACACTCGCTACACATCCGTTCTTTACCGTAACATCCGGGCAACAGGTCTGGGAGACTTAGACCAACTTAGCTGTAGTTCCAACAACCGAAATATTCTTAATTGGATAACAAAATACTGCAAAGTATTTACTTGCTATAAGTATATGAAGGTAAATAGTGTACGGTAGTAGTGAGAAATGTGACCCATCAGAACGTCACAATTGGGCGACAGCGCGCACCTGGAGACCAACAGGAGGGCGGGAACATTAGTTCTTCTCAAGACGAAGAACTAAACATATTATCGTTAAAGATGGCAGGTAATCCAGGCAGGCCAAGGTATTCTAAGGTTAACACAGACAGGCTTTGTTGCCTCGAGAGACCTAGCTGCCCCCTACCCATCACGGTGAGTCACAGTGAAGCTAGGCGAGGCCAAGCGGACCCTGCTCAGTCCGAACTAACCCAGCAGAATCCCAGTAAACGCAGGCCAAGCCCCACCAAGCCTGGTAAGCCCCACCAACCCCGCTGTGTTGTGACGCCCGATACATCTGAGTACGATTGAAGGATAAAGGCTGATCTTCATTGCATCGTTTCTAGACTCATGTATCGCAGCCCGTCCTCCTGTTTACATAGTACTTATAGTAACCATGTGGACCACCGTATATATTTGACGTGATACACTATATATATATATATATATATATATATATATATATATATATATATATATATATATATATATATATATATATAATGTTATACTCGGCATAGGAATATTTAAGTTTGGTTTATAGCTTTATTTTTCGGGACATAATAAAGTAAATAGTACCAAATTCTACTATCTGATAGTCTATTGCGTCAATATGTACAATGGTCCAGATACAAAATGTACTTTTTAAACAAGAGAATGGGTTGCATTTGTCACATCAGGTGTTTGGAAATTATTATGCAACTATCATATATATATGATTACAAATGCTTTATATTATTTATGTTAACGAGAAATGCCACATTTCTTGTGTCCGGGGGACGCGAGTTCGATCCCATTAAGCTGCCTCGACATTTCCTCATCATCAGCTTAGCTTTCCCAAGTAACCGGCGCTGCAGGCGCCGTCATCCTCTTCACTAATAATATGCAGTATTAAGGTGCATATTATGGAGGAGGGTGGGGGGGACCTGCTGCATGGGTAACAGCTTCTCCCCCGAATTAACCTACCCAGGCTTTGCGCCCTGGAGAGGGCATTCCAGACTGAAAAACCAGAGCGCAACTCCATAGTCTCCTGAGACTGATGGAGGCCTACTACTATGGATATAACGACCTCCTGATACAACGGTCACAACAAGGAAATAATGTCTCCGTAGCAGGCATGAAAGACGCGCAGAGTTACGACGTCGTATATATGCGATGTCGCAGCTGTATGCAATTCAGATTGTACGGCTACCGTGTCGGTTTTCTTAAGACGTGAATACGTCATTCACCGCCGTATTGGATACAGAAATGTACAAGGATAAGGAAAATGTCAGCCACCAGCGCTCAACCAAACGTAACCAAACCTAACTTAACTCAGCCAAACCTAACTTAACTCAGCCAAACCTAACTTAACTCAGCCAAACCTAACTTAACCCAGCCAAACCTAACCTAACTCAGCCAAATCTAACCATAACGTAACTAAAACTTATCCAAATCTAAAATAGCCAAACCTAACCAAAGGTAACAAAAATATGACGTAACTTAACTAAACCTAACTAAACCAAAACAGCTGCGAGGACAAAAACAGCCATGAGGGCAAAAACAGCCACGAGGACAAAAACGGCCACGAGGACAAAAACAGCCATGAGGGCAAAAACAGCCACGAGGACAAAAAAGGCCATGAGGACAAAAACAACCATGAGGGCAAAAACAGCCACGAGGACAAAAACGGCCACGAGGACAAAAACAGCCACGAGGACAAAAAAGGCCATGAGGACAAAAACAGCCACGAGGACAAAAAAGGCCATGAGGACAAAAACAGCCACGAGGACAAAAACAGCCACGAGGACAAAAAAGGCCATGAGGACAAAAACAGCCACGAGGACAAAAACAGCCACGAGGACAAAAACAGCCACGAGGGCAAAAACAGCCACGAGGACAAAAACAGCCACGAGGACAAAAACAGCCACGAGGACAAAAAAGGCCACGAGGACAAAAACAGCCACGAGGACAAAAAAGGCCACGAGGACAAAAACAGCCACGAGGACAAAAAAGGCCACGAGGACAAAAACAGCCACGAGGACAAAAAAGGCCACGAGGACAAATACAGCCACGAGGACAAAAAAGGCCACGAGGACAAAAACAGCCACGAGGACAAAAAAGGCCACGAGGACAAATACAGCCACGAGGGCAAATACACACACAATGCCCACTAAAAAAAAAACATTTATTGTGACAAAATCCTGAAAAGCTCTTTAATTTTCCACAGATCCACCCAGTCCGGGAAACTTTATGCCAAGTTGACTAATGACAACAGTTATGTCGCATTTTAGGTCGTGTTGCAAAGTCCAGGTGATGAATGCGGCCGGTGGGGGCTTGTCATAGGCTTTCATGTTTTACATTTTGTTCATGGGTAACTTTGAGTAGTCTCATTACAATATTAAATCCAAATGGTAATTAATATATATATATATATTATATATATATATATATATATATATATATATATATATACACACATATACAAGAGTTGTTACATTCTTGTACAGCCACTAGTACGCGTAGCGTTTCGGGCAAGTCCTTAATCCTATGTTCCCTGGAATACGACCCCCCCGCGAAGAATCGTTTCACAACCAAGTACCCATTTTACTGTTGAGTTAAACAGAGGCTACAGTTAAGGATTGGCGCCCAGTAAATCCTCCCCAGCCAGGATTTCGAACCCAGGAGAAATCGCTTGCGAAACGCCAAGCGAGCATCGTACCACATATGCTCCACGGCCGCCCACATAATCAACATGGGGGGGGGGAGCACAATTAATTAATTTCAGTTAAAATTCATCTCACTGATGGTACCTGGATGAGGAAGGTACTGTGGGCAACCCCCAGCAGCAGGCACAGTAGAGCAACAGTGCCAGAGATAACCAACAACCAGGTATGCAACATGACATTAACAACCACAATGCCACAACAATGACAGCAATGTCAAAGGGATGCCAGTTGGCAACACAGTGACTGATAACCACGTTGACAATGATAACCGAGTGATAGCCACAACAGCAATATGGTACCTACGATACTCATAGTCTCCAATGATATCAACCTGTCCTCACACTTAATGCACCGCAATTCAAACGCAATCGACCCGAGCCACGAATTTCAGCGATTTTGTGAAATAAAACACTGCAGCACTGTGACTAATATTCATTGTATACCTATAGGTTCATACGCGTCTGATTAGGGTATAAGTGCAACATATTTGACGCTTGTTATAGGAGAACGAGCTGCGGGCAGATCTCACGTCATGGTCACCCAGGAACGCGAGTTTAATCCCATTACATTGCCCCGAAAGATCTCATCGTGGATATATTCCGCTATTGTGATTTCGCTGTGCTGAATGATATGTTGCCTTGCGTTGATAAAAGTAAACGCTCGCTCGCACATTGTTGCTTAAAACAGTAATCACTCTAATGGACTGCTGAACAAATCCACAAGGGCCGTGACGAGGGTTCGAACCTACGTCCGGGAGCATCCCAGACGCTGCCTTAATTTGTTCATTTGAAGCATCACGCTATTGTGCTTTCTGTGTGTAATGAGCAGACTCATGTTGTGTTACGGGCAGGAGTAACGAGAATGGTTCGTCTCCACAAACATAATTACCAATCCCACTCTTAAAATGCTGAAATTAGCAGCAAAGTAAATCCAGAATGAGCTTCAGCGTCACAAAAGAGACAAAAGAATTCCCAGGCTGTATTGTTCTTATATTAGCAAAGAAAAGCGCCTTGGTTTATGATGAAGCAGACGTAGAATATAAATATTATTATTTTGTTTCCGCGTCAGTATTTGCCGTCGAAATTTAAAATTAAAATTCCGTCGAAATTTAAAATGAAAATTCCTTCTCCAACACCAATACTTGATAAGTGTAAAACATTTTACCTTGTAATATTAAAGATCAGACAAACTTCTTGGAGCCGAGAAAATCCATCATAGAATCGTATTCCGTAAAATTTTAATCCAAATAATCTAAACCCCTAGGCCTAAATTATCCTCATAATACGTCCAGTGGTGACGGTGGCATTAAAAGATCTCAAATTAAAGAAAAAACTAAATCAAATCATGGTTTTTGGTCTATGTTTATGATGCATGAGGATGGGAGATATTATACACCTGTGCTTCAGAGACTAGTTTATAAGTTTTACATAAGACTTCTCAAGTGTATAAAAGGGGCAAGGCTAAGAGATAGATGCTTTTTTAAAATATTCAAACCTCACGTGATGAATTTATATTTGTCTAGTAAAGATTAGTACAGGTTAGGTTGGCAGCGTGCGTGTAAGGATGTGTGCGATACTGGATATCGGGAAAGATTTCGTGACTGGATGAATTTCATACAATAGCACTGACAGGCTGAATGACGATAATATGATAGACGGTGTCAATGGCATGAGAATAATAGCATCAATCCTGAGCACACACACACACACACACACACACACACACACACACACACACACACACACACACACACACACACACACACACACACACACACACAAGGGTCGGGAGTAATGGTACAGCAATGTGAGCTGTGGTTCCATCAATCGATGGAAAGTGAAACAGATTTCGGTAAATACATTTAGCATAATGTAAGAAGCTGAGCTAGCATGAGCTTGGTGGCCATGTTAACACTTCTACACACTATTTACCGGGTGTGTGAGCGGCGCGCTTGCTCGAATTGTGTGGAGAACAAGGCGAGTCCTAACCACGTGCGTCAGCCCGTCCTCCAAACAAAGGCCAAAGTCTATTCCATGCATCCGCCAAA